TATTTGTGAGTCAACTACTCGAATTGTATTCTTATCGCTCCGCTTGCCACAATTTCAATTAGTCCAGCTGCTGGCTTTGGGCCTGGGAAGCTGCAGTTCTCGATTTGTGAGAAATTTTACGCTCAAGAGCAGCCACTTGACTGAATTGTGGGAGTGCAGCTCAAGTGGCTACGAGGGCAGCAGGGACAAAGAGAAATAAGAGAGGGAGAGGGAGAGGGAGAGAGGCGGTAAGCAGGGATTGCAACTGGAGCAGCTCCTACTCATATCTCAATCAATCAATCTGCAATTTAAAATCGATTAACAGGCCAACAAGAAACACTTTGAAGGCAAAAAACTGGCTGCTCCTGCAACCTCGACCACAACCACAACCACATCCATATCCAGTTGGAGCAGTGCCCAAATCTGTGTCTTAGTTGAGATGTTGTTGAAATTTGGTCGCCCCAAGTGCTGACCGAACACACGAGAAGAAGCAAAAACAAAAACAAAAAAAAACAACGACACGCAACTCCGAAGATCAGCATCAAACATGTAATTACATGAAACTCCATGATCATCATCATCATCATCATCATCATAATCGTCTGCTTCTTCTTCATCAGTTACAGTTCGTTCACGCCAAACTCGTGGAGACGGGAGGGGGGCAACTTTGACGCCCACCAAAGAGCCGCGCCGTGGCTAAATGACAAATGGTTGATAGAAGCGCCCCCAACCCACCCTCCCCCACCCATTGCCATCAATAGAGAGGGGCTCGAAGATGAATGCTAAACGAGCCGCAGCTTGAATGACAGCCCGATAGCAATCTCTATTATTATAATATTTCAAAACAAAACGCGAGTGAAAAGGAACAAAAAAAACGACCTGGGCTCGTCCGGGAGTTGAACCCGGGACCTCTCGCACCCGAAGCGAGAATCATACCCCTAGACCAACGAGCCATGTTAATTTCGTTCGCCAATTTACACAATACAAATCGCAGCGAATAAAGCTCGAGCGTTATGTGTGAGAAAATGCCAAATCCAATTGGAATGGCTGCAATTGGTAAACGCCAAGAACTCAGCCACACACGCACACACACACACGCGCACACATTACTCCTGCTCTTCCTTAAGCAGCGATCGGCTTTTGTAGATCGCGCTCCTCCTCGCATTGAATACGGGCCGTGCTGTTGTAATTTTTAGCCAGAAGCCACCACTGACCTGAACTGAGGCGGCCATATCAGCATGATACGCCCATGTATATAGTATATACATATATACATATATGTACATCTATATATATGTGTGTTTGTGTGTGTGTGTGCGTGCATGTCTGCCCGCCGCATATGCAGCATATTCAAAGATCTGTTTATTGTTTACACTGGCCGCTGGAATCGGCCTTTTTAAGATGCCAAAACTATTAAGACGGGAAATGTGCGCGGCGACAAGCCGACATGCATATACTCTAAAAAAACTTGGAAATAAATTCGAATTAATTGCTTGAACTCGACTAGTACCTTCTAATCTCTAACGAGCCAATGAGTGTGAGAGAAGAGAAGAATGCTGGAATATATCCAATGAAGGGAAGGGCAGACATATCGTAATACTGCGAGGTATTTAGATGATTCTTCCTTTGGAGAAATATTAATTCTATATCAAAATATGTTGTTTTTTATACGATATTAATTCTATATTTAAATTGCACATTCGTTTATTATTTTATTATTCATATATTTTATATTATTTTTTATTGTATTTTATTAACAACTGCAACTATTATAATATTTTGTTCATTTTTTATGATCTCTCAGTTCTTTAGATCCATTCCTTAAATATCTGCCTAAAGCCGCTTTCTCAGTTCTGAAATGTTGCACTTTAGTGCAACTATGGGATCAATGGACTATAGATGAATCAAGTTAATCTCTTCTCACTCTGAAATTTCAGGTATTTTCATAATTTAAACATTTCAAACTGTGTGCAACGCTTTCATTTCTATAATAAAACGATTTCCCTGCACTTCCCGAGCAAGTTCTAATGCCCAGCTTCGGTTAGTGTATGGAAATTGTTGTTTGCTAGCCAAGCAGCACGTGCCTTCCGATCTATCAGATTTCTTGCTGGCATTATAAAGGCAACAACAACAACAACAACAACAGCAACAACTGCGAGCAGCAACTAAAATTGTTGCTGGAGCTGAATTTTGTTACAATTTTTTTTTTCTCTTTTTGTTTGAAATTTCTTTGAAAACAAAGCAGAACAACAAAGGGGCTGTACGTGCAGGGGAGTAAGTGGGGTGACCAGTTGAGGGGGGGGAAGGGGGGTTGGTAAATAGATTGTTGTTGTTGTTGCAGCTTTAATTGTTGCCGCAACTGTTGCCTCTGCTGCTGCAGATATTTATGCACTTGATGGGCCGCCTTCGCCTTCGCCTCCTCCTCCTCCTCCATCCTCCCTCCCCAGCCCCCTCATGCTGCTGTTTATCGTGATTTACAGTCCATTTGTGGGGTGCAGCAGTTCGATACGATTTGGTGTGGATTGGAATGATCCGCTTGCAGTCGATATGCTCAAACACCAAGCGAGCTCTTGACTCTGAAATACAGTGCTCGCTCGCTAAGGGGAACTCTCAGAGAGAGGCAGAGGCAGAGAGGGGGGAAAAGTACAACAAACTAACTAATGCTTAACACGCACTTAATCGAAAATTCTTATTTATTATTAGAATTTATTCTAGAATTTATACGATGTATTTCGAACTTTTCTTTGGGCTTATAGGATTTCCAGAAATTCGAATTCTCGCAATAGTGAGCGATATATACAAAGGAGTATATCCTTTGCCATTTCCTAAAGTGCTTCAAAGAGTGCTTCTATCTCTCTCTTCTCTCTCTCTCTCTCTCTCTCTCTCTCTCTCTCTCTCTCTCTCTCTCCCTCTCTCTCTCTCTCTCTCTCTCTCTCTATCTGCCCCTTCTCTATCTGATTCAAAGAGTGCTTCTATCTCTCTCTCTCTCTCTCTCTCTCTCTCTCTCTCTCTCTCTCTCTCTCTCTCTCTCTCTATCTGCCCCTACCTCTCTCTATTTCTGTATGAATCTACTTCTCTTTCTCTCTCTGCCCCACTATCTTTTTCTCTATGCCTCCAACGCTCTCTCTCTCTCTATCTATATATATATGTATATATAACGCCCCTAGTTCTCTCTCTCTCTCTCTCTCTTTCTATATATACATACATATATATGTATATATATAAATCTCCCAACTCTTTCTTTACACATACATATATATATATTTATATATATACATATATCCCCTATCTCTCTCTCTCTCTCTCTCTCGCTCTCTCTCTCGCTCTCTCTCTCAATGCTCCCCGTATAATAGGCCGACTTCTTTGAATGAGTCTTTCTCTCCCTCTCTCTCTTTCTCTCTCTCCCTCTCTCACACTATCTCTTTCTCTCCTCCTTCCTATCTATCTCTATCTCTCTCTCCCTCCCTCTCTTGATTGTACCCTATATAATAGGTTAACGTCTTTGAATGAGTCTGTCTCTTCCTCTCTCCGTCTTTCTCCCTCTCCATCTCCCACTCTATCCCTTTCTCTCTCTCGCAATCTCTCACTCTCTCTCTCTTGCTCCCTTTCCACCCCCTCTCTTGATTGCTCCCTGTATAATAGGTCAACGTCTTTGAATGAGTCTCACGCAATTTGCGTTGAACAATCGCTGAATTAACATACTCCGCGAGACACTCCGCGTGCTCCGCTACTCGCTTTAAGATTTGCTCCAGTTCAGCAGCCAGCAACAACGACAACAACGACAACAACGACAACAACAACAACAACGACAACTACAGCAATGACAACAGCACTTAAATAGACAACAGTTAGTTAATAGCGCCCCAGAGCTAATGTCTAATGATAATAAGATGATAAAAATGACAATTTGCGGCGACAAATGAAGTTTTATGCTTAAACAATCGTCAAAAAGCTTCGATCAGATGAAGCTTTAACTGGAATACATACATATATGAAGATATATTCGGGACCTGTCAAGTGACAATCCTTAGCCTTAAATTCAAGAAAAACTTGGAAAAAATCGAATATGTTACGTTTTTTTGATAAAAGATGAAGACTTTTGCGAATGTGGTTCTAAGCTACATTACGTAAAAGTCTCCTGAAAAAACTCAAATATTAATAAGTAGAAGGCATACCTGAAACATCTCATACTTTGTTTATGTTTTTTTCCCAAATTTATTAACTTTGCAACAAAGTAAATGAACAGTCTTAAAAGTTAAAAATTTTGTCTGGCTGCGCACCAGCGACCTCTCGTTTGCTAGTTCAACGCTCGAAAGACCAAACGAAGCAGGCTTTTGTAAGAACTTTGGCAGAACCCTATTTTTATTGGTCATTTTCATACGAATGTTCGATCACTGTATTTCCCAACTTGGAAGTAAGATTTTCCAAATCCCCTTCAAAGTCGTCAATCTCCACCACCAATTATTTCCTAGCTCCGGCTGCTTGGTTTGGTTACCAAGCAGTTAGTCGGATTTATAAAGATTAAGTCCTAGTCAAGCATATTTACAAATATAAACAAGAGTGCTCTAGTCGGGCGTGCCCGACTAGGTAATACCCTGAATCCAATTTTACCCTTACTCTTTTCTAGAAGCTACAAATCAAATTTGAACACTCTAGCTATTAAAACGAACGAGATTTGCTTAAAAAAGAGGATTTCGATAACGATTTTCTATCGATTGCTAGGAATCGGCGCTAGTTATCGATTATAAAAAAAATCTCGTACTGCACGGCCAGAAGGAGGAGCTACGTTCTAAATTTCAAGTCTCTAGCTCTTAGAGATTCTGAGATCCTTGCGTTTATACATCTGGACAGACGGCTAGATTTACTTGGCTAGATTTACTTGGCTATATATGTATATAAAGTGTTTGGAGATGTTTCCCTTTATACCCTTTCTCTCAACTAATAGCAAATAAAATGGAATAAATTTGCTCTCTTTTCCCATTGCACACATGAATTCCTCTTACTGGAGCTGAACAACTGATTAAATCGAGTACATGGAAAAGCAGTCTGTGCCCAAGTTGTAGATTTGACAAATGCCGAAGAATATATTTAATTAAGTATTGAATACGGGATGGCTCGAGGCAGCGCCGCAGGCTTTGACAGGCACATAACCGTCTTTTCGCCAGAAGGACGCCTTTTCCAGGTGGAATATGCATTCAGGGCACTCGCACTGGACAACCTGACGCTGATCGCCATACGGGGCGCCAGCTGTGCCGTGCTGATTGTGCAGCAGAAGCCGCTGGATAAGCTGATTGTGCCGGAGACAGTGTCGCGTTTGTTTTCAATTAACAAGCAGATTGGCTGCGGCATGATCGGACGCATTGCCGACGCCCGGGCCCAGGTCCAGAAGGCCGTCTACGAGGCGGGCAGCTTTCAATTCCGATACGGCTACAACATGCCCATCGATGTGCTCTGCGGCCGAATGGGCGACATCAGCCAGGTGTACACCCAGAACGCCGAGATGCGTCCCCTCGGCTGCAGCATGGTGATGATCGCCTACGACGACGATCTCGGGCCCTGCATCTACAAGACCGACCCCGCTGGCTATTGTTGCGGCTACCGGGCGACCGCGGTGGGCACCCAAATGCTCGACGCCCTTGCCTATTTGGACAGAAAGTACAAGAAGAATCTCAGCGACGAGAACACCGTACAGCTGGCCATCAACTGTCTGGCCACGGTGCTGGGCATCCAGTTGAAGGCCACCGACTTCGAGCTGGCCATGGTCACCAAGTCGCATCGCCTATTCCACATACTCAGCCAGCAGGAGCGCGAGGAGCAGCTGGGCAAAACGGTCGGGGGATCCACGAATTCGAGTCGATAGCTCAAGCTCGAAACTCCTATTCCTATTCCTATTCCATTGGAATTGTGGCACGAAAACCAACCAAAAACACGTCCGAAAGTTAATAAAGTAATTTTAAAAGATATGGCTGCAATTTGTGTTCCCATTCGGTTCTTTAAGTCTTTCTTGGATTTAAATCAGTTGGATGAGCTCCTCTTCTAACTCAGTTCAAGTAAAGCCAACAGCTTAGTTTACTCCAGAGTTACCCTGCTCCCTGCGCCAAGCTGCCCTTCACTTCGAACACAAGCCCCACACTATAAGAAATGCGTTCCCTATTAACTTCGGCGTCTACAGTCCGATCTTATTGAAGTTTTCTAAGCTTAAATATGGCACACCAAAGTGTGTATATATCAGAGCACAAGGCTCTATCCTTGAGACTAAGTTCTTTCTTATTTGCGAGGAGAAGGGGAGAAGGGGGGGAGGTATCCAAAAAGTGAACTATTTTTAATTTGTATATGCTCTGCGAGAAGCTACATTTCAAGTCTGATGCATATCGCGCTAATAGTTCCCGAGATATGCGGAAAAAACGAAACTGAGCTTGAAACTGAGTTTTGTTTTTTGTCAAATTTCGGGGTAATTGGAGGAGGCAGCTGAAGAGCATTAAACGAGAGCGTACACAGCAAATTTCAGGTATCTAGCTTGAATAGTATTTGAGTTATGCTTAAAAAACCAAGTCTCGAAATCGATATTTATCGATATTTTCAAAATGGAACGATATATCATTCGGCATGTGGTAATATATATTTAAAAAGTAGTCGCAAGCTATTGTATTTCAATCTGACAGACGTGCTAGACCTTGGCATACGGATGGACTGATCAGTAGAGCTGGAAAAGGATCGATGGGCCTATCGAATATATCGATGTATTTGGATCGCAAAAACTTAAACGAATTTCACTCTAAGCCTGATCTCAACAATACAATTCATGGTATTGGAAATGTTACTTATTTTTAGAGAAAATAATAAATTAGTTTCTTGTCTAATGTCTAATAATTTTCTTTTTTCAAAGATTGATACTATCGATGTTTTGCTTAAAAACAATCGAAAACATCGATTGTCTCAGATATCGATGTTTTTCCAGCTCTACTGATCGGGAATATGTGGAAACGGGGTATACAAAAAAGAAATTCAAAACATTTTGCACTGTGTGTCAGAGCGAGCTTTTGGGTAATTAAGAAACTTTTGCTGCGCCAATATTTAACGGCAGTTTCGCACTCATCGATTAACCAGCTAGAGGGGCAGGGGCAGGGGCAGGGGCAGTAGAGGGGTTTCTGTGTGTGGCAGGTGAAAATCGATGCAGCGACAGCAGCTGCGTAAATTTTACGCAATTGGGGACAACAAATTACACGCAATGCAATTTACTGCGGGACCTGAAATTGCAACCGGAACGGAGGCAGGAGCTGAGGCAGGAGCTGAGGCTGTGGCTGTGGCTGTGGCTGGGACTCGAGCTGGGGCCGGGACTGGGTCTGGGTCTGAGGCTAGGCCTGTGGGCCTGGCTGCGTCTCGAATTGAGGTTATGCGACGCTGTCTGGCCTGTGGCTCGCTCGATTATGCAAATGCGGCGAATTTCACTGGAGCCAACGCATCTAATCGAGTAGCCGAAGCCATAAAATCAAGTCCACGCACCAGACGCATTCCATCAAAATACTGTACCGCAACGGGAGTGCGCGACGAGGCGATACCCTGTGACTGCGTGCGCTTCTTCAATGAACTCTTAACTTTCATTTCAAAAATATCGATAAATATCGATTTCGAGACTTGGTTTTTTAAGCATAACTCAAATACTATTCAAGCTAGATACCTGAAATTTATTGTGTACGCTTTCGTATAGTGTACAAGGACTGAGAACATTTTGCTCTTCAGCTGCCTCCTCCAATTACCCCGAAATTTGACAAAAAACAATACTCAGTTTCAAGCTCAGTTTCGTTTTTTCCGCATATCTCGAGAACTATTAGTGCGATATGCATCAGACTTGGAATGTAGCTTCTCGCAGAAAACACAAAAATTAAAAATAGTTCACTTTTTGGATACCTCCCCCCCTTCTCCCCTTCTCCTCGCAAATAAGAAAGAACTTAGTCTTAAGGATAGAGCCTTGTGCTCTGATATATACACACTTTTGTGTGCCATATTTAAGCTTAGAAAACTTCAATAAGATCGGACTGTAGACGCCGAAGTTAATAGGGAACGCATTTCTTATAGTGTGGGGCTTGTGTTCGAAGTGAAGGTCAACTTCAAAGAACTCTTAACTCGTTTATTAACAGCCCGATCGTTATGAAATTTTCAGTCAATAGAGTTGACACTTCAATTACTGTGAGTACCAAAGATCAAGTCTGCAACTATATTTATTCTCCAGTTTCTAATCGCTGAGGGATAGACAGCCAGAGTTGGCTTTTCCATCGAGAATACTCTACAGATGCCTTCTTCTGGCCATGTCAATTGCTTGAGGGTATAAAAAAGAGCTGCAACAACTTGAATTTGTTAATGAAACGTTTTCGGACTTGAGCTGGCAAATGTGCCAAGCGAATATGCACGTACAAATCGTATTTGCAGATATGTCAGTTATATGTTTGTTATTTTTTTTTAACATTTTATTTTTACGCAATGCATATCGTACATGGCACTACAGCAACAACAGCAACAACAACAACAATAACCAGAGATTGGCACGCAACTTTTTTGGCTTTTTGGCAGCCAACGTTAAAAGAGTTGATGACCCCGAAACCCCAAAGAAGACGCTCGATGAAGCCGCAGCAACATCAGCAACAGCCACAACAACAACAACAACAACACATAACAAACATCATTACAACAGTTTGCCAAAAAAAAAATAAAAGAGAGAAAAAAACAGAACAAAATACCCGAAAATGGCCGCAAAATCATTACAAAAAGCGGCAAAGGCCATGAAATCGAATCACATATGTTGAATGTGATGTATGTTATGTATGTGATGTATGTGTTGCATGTGCAAGCGGGGCTAAGAACTCGCTTGATATGAAACGAAAAGAACTATATACCAATAACCTTAATTGGATAACGAATACATGCTGTCAAATGCCTTATATGCAGATGATGTGGAAATCGTGTCCAAATATAACCCCAAACAAAATACTTTCTATGGTAACTCGGCTGCTTGGCAGTCGATCTATGTGAAATTTGGAAAATAAATAGAGAACATGCTTGTTAGCATGCATACCAAAAGTCAAGCTGATTGACTGACTGATTGACTGATTGATGAGCAGCGCACAGCCCAAGGCGAAAAGCTAGAGACCTTATGTGATGTACGGGAGAATAATAAATAGAGGACATGCCTGTAAGCATGCATACCAAAAGTCAAGCCAGTCTGATTGACTGACTGACTGACTGATTGATTGATGAGTAACGCACAGCCCAAGGCGGAAGAGCTAGGAAGTTCTAAGTCTATACCAAGAGAGAATATTGTGTAAATAAACCTGGCAAGTAGAAAAAATTCGTATACAACTGTTTTATGAAACTTTCTAGTTGAGATGATATCAGATGATTTATTCAAGTAATTTATACTCTGGCCCAAAGTTCTTTCGTTTAAAGAAAATCCAATTTTGTGAGCGAAAAATTTTGATCTAAGCTTATATGAACAATCGACCGTTTCACGTTTTACATGGAAAATCTAACATCAAAATCTATCAAAGAGCAAAAGAATATAATTCGAACGGGCAAAGCCGGGTAATGCTTGCTCTAACTATGATAGTTTATGCTTCAAATAGCAAAAGAAGCACGATCTTATTGCCAGTTGGTCAGATCTTTACATTTCATTGGCTTATAGATACCCTGTAACTTACAAATACCCTGTAACTTACAGATACCCTGTAACTTACCTTTGTGAACTGATGGAATCGCAGCTGGGTTTGTTACAGTCCTGGACAGGCGCAACAATTGCGGTTGCATTTGTTGGCCGGAAGTTTTGGTTGGCCGCAGGATGCGTGGACGAGGGGCTAAACAGTTACTCTTGCACACGACAGAGACACAGCGAAAGAGAGAGAGAGAGAGCGAGAGAGAGCGAGAGAGAGAGAGGGAAAGAGGGAGAGACCCAATTGGTGTATTGCAGATATTTGGCCAAGATTTTTGTTTTGGCTTTGACTTTGGCCTCGCAGCTTGGCGAACGTTAAGTTGAATATTTTTCACACGCTTTCACTTGAACATCAAAAAAATATAAACAAATTTTTGTTTGCTGTGCTCTTCTTCTGCTTCTTCTTCTTTAGCTTCTTCTTCTTGTTTTTATTACAATTTGGCGCTTTAACTGTATTTTACTGCATTGCAATAGTTGCGTTCGTTTCTGCCACTCGATTTCGCACAGAAGCACAGTAGGAAATAAACAAAATCACAAACACAATAAAAAAGAACGCGAAAAGAAACGCGATAAACAAACGGCGCGAGTATCGAAACAACAAAAACAAAGTCTAAGCTAGCGCCGGCCGCTGAACGCGCTTCACCTCCGCTCGTTTCAAATGCGATACAACAACTGTTTGCGGGCTGTCAATAGGTGGCAAGTCGCCGCACTGAGAGCGGCACACACATGTTGCGCTCTCTGAGCGATAACTAAAGACTAAAAAATACCGCATAGCGAAAAATACTGTACGAACGCTGCCTATCGGTATAAGCTGAGAGCTGCACTAGCTCACGTCCAGGTAAACTACAACTTTAAAAAACAATTAAAGAACTAAGAGCATTTGATAAGTGCAATAAATAATACATACACTAAACTGTATTTGGCTCAATAGCGATTATTAAAAGGCGTTAAAAGACGAAGCGCAAAATAAAGCTATCGATTATTTATTTTGCCTGCGCTGCGTTAAGTTCGAAAACCAGAGTTTGCTGTGTGCTTCCGATAGAGGGCGACACCGTTTTTGTTGAGCTGCTGAACTTTCAACGGAACAGTGAGTATGTAGAGGGCGGCACAGTTTTCCCATATATAGTGTGCTTGAAGTTCGCTATACAGCTAAAAAGCGCTGCATGGTTGCGTTAAATATATGAAACGAAGAATAAAATTGATGTAACAAAATAATTCAGAAATAAATACAAAACGTTATTCATAATAGCAATATATTTAA